CCAGGCTGTGTCAAGTTGACAATTAAGGCTCCTCATGATGTACTCTTCAAAAGAGAGCACCCCACAAATGTTACCATGGCAAAACCAGGAGCACCTCAAAGTTGCCCAGCATGAAGTTGGCGTTGTTGTCAAAAAAGCCAGGGCAGGGTTCTTGACAAGGGAATTAATGTGTGTGTTGAACATATTAAGCACTCTGAAATCAGGAAGAATTTCCTGAAGTGGGTGAAGAAAAATGTAAGAAAAGGAAAGAAAGAACTCAAAGAGAAGAACCCAAGTTCATGTGAGGTGCCAGCCTGTGCTGTCAGAAGAGGGGGAAGTGGGGGAGAAGGCTGTACTGCTGGAGCTCATGCCTATCCATTCCTGGAATAGCAGGTGTTTAAAACAAAACAGAACAAAAACGAACAAAAAACTCTACTGAAAAATAATAATGGTAGTAAATTACCCAATCTGGGTAAAAATAATATAGAGCCATTTCAGGAGTGTTTACTTTGGCCCAGCTTTCAAATCTTAGGCCTGGGCTCTCCTACTGCCAACCATTTGAAGACATTCCAAGAGGAAATGTAAGTGGCAAGCAAGGAACGGTGTATTAAAAAAAATGGCCAGGTGAGAGATCTTGCCTTAAACAAAAGGTAGATGTCTGAAGACAAGGCCTGACGTTGTCCTCTGACCTCCACATATGTGCTCTGTGTCCACACACACCTGTATCCCCAACAAATGCACAAACACACACACAAGCTTGAGCATACAGCCATATGTGCATGGGTGCATGCATGTGCATGTGTACATGCGCATACATACACTGGTTGTTCCAATTTATTTGTTTATATTATGTTTTGAGACAATGTCTTACTTTGTAGCCCTGGCTAGTCTGGAACTGACTATGTTATCAAGTTGTCCTCAGACTCACAGAGATCCACCTGCCTCTGCCTCCTGAGTGCTGGGATTAAAGGTGTGTATCACCATGCCTGGACTCAGAGCTTTTGAGCTGACTATTGTTAAGCACAGTTGAAAACATGGTGTCTTTTTCTTTCTCTATACAAATTACAGATAGGCTTTCTAGATTTTAGGATATCCTCCTCATCCCACCCCCATTTTTTTATTCCAATATTGAAATCAAACCCAGGACCCTGTGCTTGCTAGGCAAAGGCTCTACTTCTGAGCTATATCCCCAACTGTAAAAATTGTCTTTGATGATGAGTTTTTTAAAGAAAACAATGTAATACCCCAAAAGGTGTGTGTTCTGGGGGTGGTGGCCAAGGTAAGGAAAATGTGCTTCCCAAACCTCAGCCTTTGCACAGCACTGCCCACCTACCAGCCTGTTAGCACACCTACATATTATCTAAACCATTATCTATTTAATTTTCTTTAAAATGTTTTGCTTCTTTTTTTTTTTTTTTTTTTTTTTTTTTTTTTTTTTTTTTTGGTTTTTCGAGACAGGGTTTCTCTGTGTAGCTTTGCGCCTTTCCTGGAACTCACTTGGTAGCCCAGGCTATGTTTTGCTTCTTTTTATCCAAATATATAAAATATTTGTATTAATTCTTTGAGAATTTCATACATTGTACTTTGATAATATTTACCTTCTTCCCCCATCTCCTTTCAGATATAACCCCTATTCCACACCTACCCAACTTTGTGTTCTTATTTTTTTAAGAAAAAAAAATCAAGTCCTATTAGGGCCGCCTATATATACTTGGGTGCATGGCCAACCACTGGAGTATGTTAGACCTCCCAGGGACCACACCCTTAAAGAAAGTTGACTCTCCATCTCCTGGCAGCTGTCAATTTCCATTAGCTCCCCAGCTAGGAGTGACTTTGTGCCCACCTCCCCTCTCCATGCTGGGGTTTTGTCTGGCTTGAGCTTGTGCAGGTCTTGTGCATGCTGGAACAACTAGTGTGTTCCCAAACCACTGTTTCTTAGTCATCCACTGCTCCCAGCTCTTACAGTCTTTCTACCCCTTGAATACCATGATCCCTGAGCCTTAGCAGGGAGGGGAGTGATACAGATGTCCCATTGAGGGTTAAGCACTCTGTGGTCTTCTCTGCATCCTGACCAATTGTGGGTCGCTGTTAATCACCATCAACTGCAAAAAGAAGCTGCCCTGCTGACGTTTGAGAGATGCACAGGTTATGACTGTAACAGGAAGTCATTAGGAGTCAGCTCAATACTATGCCCATTTAGCAGAGTAGTACCGGTAGGACCTATGTGACCTGTCTAGTCACAGGTTCTCAGCCAGGGATGGGTTTCATCTCATAAGGCAGGCAGGCCTTAAGTTTAAGCAGTAAGTGGTTGGTTACGCCTATAACACCAGTGCCACTGTTGCACCAAAGGGCACGTCTTGACAGGCCCGTCATTGTTGTAGCTTCCAGGGTCCACACTTGGGTGAGACTGGTGATTACTTTTCTCCTCCAGTAGTGTACATAGTACTTTCTAGCACTATGAAAGCTACCTAGTAAGGATAAAGCTTCCAGATGAGCACCAGGCTGGTTTCTCCATGTTCTATGACATCTTCAGCAGTAGGACCTTACCATCAAGCCCTGGAATGTAACCAGGAGCAATGACGATAGCCTTTAATGTTGGGGGTCCTATAGGACCTCCCTAGTCAAAGACTCTCACAGAAGTAACCCATTCCTGGCACTGGGCTTTTTATTTGTTATCTTATGGTGTCTAGTAGAGGCATTGCCACCCCATTAGAAGGTAATTCCCTTTCAACTCTTTTAATAATGTGTGCGCGTATAGCTTCTGCAGTAGAGGGCGTTCGTATGACTCGTTCAGAAAGTCTTTATGTTGATTCTTACTCTCCTTACTCCTTCCTCTACCCTGTCCTCCCACCTCTCACTCACCACATTTAACCTTTCTTGTTCCATTAGTTCCCTTCCCCCTTCTATCACTGCTTTCGATTTCCCTTTCCTTGAAAGCCCCCCTCCCCACGGTGTTAGCTTTGAATCTTTAGATACATGCTTCATTTAGAATCCCCACACAAGTCAGGAAATTACTCAAATACATTTTAAAAGCATCTTTACTTTACTATCCTAAGTAGAAAACCAGTGCCCACTGATATAAATCATAAGTTATTGGAAAAATGGAAGCAATCCTGTCCCAGACAATCCTTAGACTCTGGCTATATGTTCCTGTCTTCTGAGACTGTCAATTGAAAGCTTTCTCCTTGAAGCAGGGGTGGGGTGCAGTGGGTAAGAATGCTTTTGCTGTGCATGCATGAGGACCTGAGTTCAGATCTCACCACATAAAAGCCACTGTGCTGGGAGGCCCTGCTGGTTGGAGGTTGTAGTCTACCATGGCCTGGGGCAGCTCTCTCCAAGCTTGGCAACATGGATAACTACCCCCATACCCCAGTGGAAGGCACCCTGTTCTCTACTTGACCTTATTTAGAGACTGTCTCTAGGTCCAGATGCCTGACTTATCCCTAGTGTGACCTTGAATGCAGTTCCCTGCAGAAGTTTTCCCCCTGCTGCCCGTATGGTAGTTAGACATTGGAACATTACGACAGGACTGTGCTTCCACAGATGATAACTAAGACTGTACTAGGATCCTTATGATAGGAGCATGCTGTTAATGCAAATTAGGTGGTTCCCTAGCTACCATCCCCAATCCTATATAGTCCTGTACTCTGGAACAAAGTTGAGCTGATTATGGCCAGGCAATGGTGGTGCACGCCTTTAATCCCAGCACTCGGGAGGCAGAGCCAGGCGGATCTCTGTGAGTTTGAGGCCAGCCTGGACTACCAAGTGAGTTCCAGGAAAGGCACAAGCTACACAGAGAAACCCTGTCTCGAAAAACCAAAAAAAAAAAAAAAAAAAAAAAAAAAAAAAAAAAAAAGGCTGAGCTGATTAAGTTATTTCCTGGAGGGCTATCTCCATCGTTCTCACAGGCTGGATGAAGACCTGCTTACTGCTTCTGCCCCCTTTGTCCCTGTAGCCCAGTGGCCAATGGACCATAGGGGAGGAGGGGCCCACACCACTGTGGCCACATGTGTCCCTGTAACCCCAGTGCTATGTGTGGGAGAGACAGGAGGATTACTAGGGATATTGCTGGCCACCAGTCTAGCCCCATGTTTGGTGAGAGACATTCCCCCCAACTCCAAAGAGTAAGGTGAAGAGAAATAGAGCAGGACACCCAAAGTCCTTCTTTGACTCTGCACACATATGTGTGCATTCATTGCACACACGTACACTATACATGCAGAGATTAAAAAATTTAATTTAGAGTATGAGGGTTGGCAGGTGTTGGGCATTAAAGCCATTCTGGCCCCAAGCTTCCTCAGGAATACTGTAAGAGAGTTGGAAAGTGAGATTTTCTTACCTGTAACTTAGTGTGCTTATTGTCTCGTCCCTGCAGGCCTCCTCAAGTACCAGGGGAAGGATGGGAGCTATGTGTACCTCATATTTGGAACATGCTAGATTAGAGGTTCTGATGGTTTAGTGGCTCTGTGGCAACATGGGGTGGGGGGTTTCTCTCTCTCTTTGCAAAGTCTTCCCAGATCTGGGGAGGAAGCAGCCGTGGTGGGAATTCTCTGGTCTGAGGTTATTCAAGAAACCCCCCTCTGCATGAGATGACACTACACATTTAAAGGCACGCTTTACCATCATGAAGGACCACCGTCACAGTGTTGACAAGCTGGTTCCTTCCAAAGCCCACAAGGTCAGGGTCTGTCCCGGGCTTCCCTTCCTGGTTTACAGCTGGCCGTGTCTTCCCTGTGTCCTCACACAGTTTTCCTTCTGTTTGTGTCCCCCTCGCTTCTTTTAAGGACATCGCTCACGCTGAATTAGAGCCTAATGTAGTGACTGTGAGCCTACCCCATTCTAACTTAATTACCATTTTAAGAACTCTACCTCTAAATCCAGTCATGTTTTGAGGTACCGTGTGTGTGTGTGTGTGTGTGTGTGTGTGTGTGTGTGTGTGTGTGTGTATACAATTCTCTCCCTCACCTCTCCCCCTGTACGCCTTGTTTTCCCCCGTCTCTGACACTCTGTTTTCCTCACAGGCTTGGAATTTTCTTCTGCCCTCTGCTGCCTTTTATCCAAATGATCACTCTCTTCATTATGTTCTATGTCAAAAATGTGAGTTGGACCCAAGTTGCAACCGATTACTTTCCTTTGTTAACTTAGGACCTGGTGGGGATCCAAGCTGGGAAAGGGTTGTGGGGAGGGGTCAGGAAGCTGTAAGTCAGTGGCTGGAGTGTGGGTACTTGGTGGGGTCCTGAGGGCTGCTCCTTGGGCACAGGTGGAAAGGTTCCATCTCTCTCCTCAGATCAGCCTGATGATGAACTTCCAACCTCCAAGCAAGGCCTGGCGGGCCTCCCAGATGATAACGTTCTTCATCTTCTTGCTCTTCTTCCCATCCTTCACGGGCGTGTTGTGCACCCTGGCCATCACCATCTGGAGGTAGGGACGGTGGCTTTGGCTGAGGTTGTAGTGGTGGGGTGGATAGATGTCTGCTTTCAAATGTGGGTTTTATTCTCCAGATGTGGAGACAGTTGCCATTGAAATCATAGTTTGTTACTCACAGTTCCCAAGAAAGGAAGGCTCCCCATGCCATGCGGGGCCACATGAGGAAAATGTAGAGGTTGTCAGGAAGAAGGGGGAGTGAGGGACAAAAGCCTTTATTGCAGTTTCCAAGGTAAGGAACAGATGAGGCAGGGCAACCGGGCTAGGACTGGCCACTTTGAGTCTTTTCAGAAGGTCCTGCAATCCTGGGAGCTGTTGTGGGTTGTTGAGATCATGACCTTGGGGTGACTGGGGTCTGGGACCATGCTCCAACTATGAGAGCCTGTTAAAAGAGATGCCTGTGCTGCAGACTCCCTGTCAGGGGGTTGTCGGCGTGTGAAGTCATGCTTCCTAGGCTAGTCCTGGGAAGGGAAGTCTCCCCAGAGTCCACAAGACTCTCAGATGGCAGACATCAGAATAAAACCTGTGCTTAATACAGAGCTCAGTCCATGTTCCTAGGGTAGCCAGCAAATACAAGGACCAAGGGAGGAGATGAATCCTACCCTGGATTTATTCTATACATCCTACACCATAGTTGGGAGCCATTTCCTAATTTCTGCCAAGTGTTTAAGCTTCTCAGACTGAGAGAGGTCACTTCTACATTGAGAGGAAACTTGACTGAAGGGAACCAGTCCTCATCTGGCCTGGCTCTTCCTCCTTTGGCTCTACCTCTCTGCAGCCCTGAAGCTTTTCTTCCATGTCTAGGTTCCAGCAGGTCCCTTTCTATGTGGTCAGGCTCCTCTCTGTGAAGGGGTCTCCCCATTCCCTCCAAGTCTCAGCTCCAAGGTCAGTTTTTGGCCTGAGCATCCTAGTCACCCCTGGATGCTGTTGACTACTTACCCCTTTCCTTTCTCAGGCCCACATTCAACCCAGCATTCCATGACTCACAGTTTATGTGTATGAGCTTCCTTTCATGTATGTATGGGCATCATGTGTTTGCCTGGTACCTGTAGGGAACAGAAGAGAACATTGTAGATGGTTGTGAGCCACTGTGTGGGTGCTGGGAACTGAACCCGGCTCCTCTTACAAGAGTAGGGAGTGTTCTGAACCTCTGAGACATTTCTCCTGCCCCAGTCTCTTGTGTCATCTTATCCCTACCCTCTCTCTTCCTAATCTTCCAGTGTCTACTCATTTGTAATAGCTGACAACACATGCTCACAATGTCACACCTGGCTTCCACAGCTAACAAGCCTCCCACTTGGTGTATCTTAAGTCACATTCTCAAGAAAGACTTTCTGACCGCTCCTAAGATACAGCTAGATTGTTGCCTAGATTCTGGATTGGCCACTGTGGCAGGTGATAGCACTCTAAGAGCTGGTCCTCAGACCGCAGGTGACACCAGACAAGGTGAGAGCTCTTCCCTTGGAAGCAGAGTATGGGAAGAGCAGGCAAGATTCTCTGTGTCTGGAGCCTGAGTCCAGAAGGGATCCCTTGATTCTGGAAAACCTACATCTGAGTCTCAGGCAGCAGATGGTCTTCTGCTTCTTGTTTTCAGGTTGAAACCTTCAGCTGACTGTGGCCCCTTCCGAGGTCTGCCTTCCTTCATTCAGTCCATCTATAGCTGGATCGACACCCTGAGCAGAAGGTCTGGCTACCTGTGGGTCGTCTGGATCTACCAGAACCTCATTGGAAGTGTGCACTTCTTCTTCATCCTCACCCTCATTGTGCTGTGAGTGGTCTTTCCTGAGAAACTAAAGGGAGGAGAAGCCAAGAGTTCTTGGGGACCCTTTCATTGACACGAGACTGTCCCGGGGTCGCTCATTTGGGACCCAAAGCAATGAGTACAGAGAAGTGAGTACAGGATGCTCTCAACTCCACCCGCAAAGAGAGTTTCTGTAAAATGTTGTTTAACGCTCTCCTAGCTAAGCTTTTTTTTTTTTTGAATGCTCTACAAAGAAAGTATTCTTATTTTCTTCCTTTTTGCTGGGGATATAGCTCAGTGGTAGAGTACTAGCCTAGCATGTGCACGGCCCTGGGTTTAATCCTCAGTAATGGGGAAATAAGGAAACAAGAATATTAAAATACGGAGAATATTAAAATAAGAATATTTAAATATTAAAATAAAATAAGGAGAATATTAAAATAAAATATATTAAAATAATTTTTTTAAAGAGTTAAAATGTGTGAGAATTCTTAGAAAAATTCCTCTGGAGACTGCAAAATATAAAACTGGCCCAGGTGTCATTGACATTTTAGAGTATTGCATTTTAATTTTTAAAAATATCCATTTCTGACTTCTTATGAAGATTAATCAACATTGGGTTCGTTTTCCTGTATGGAAGAATTGGCTGGTCAACGTACAGTGCTCTGTGTTTCACAGCTTAGGCCCCACAGCATTAGACAGGGCTGCTCCTTGTCGGGAGACAAGGGACTCAAGGACTCAGACTATTGGAGCCAGCCATGGTGTACAGAACAATGTCTGTGCTTTGTAGATGAGAGTGACAAGTCAGAGACAGGACAGTTCCAAAACAGCTTCTATGCTGCACAGTCTGATAGTGGAGGAAGAGGCTAGAAGCCAGGTCTCCTGGCTTGCCATGATGTTCTCTCCCCCAATCACCAGCAGCAACTGTTGTCAGCACTTTAGAATGGTAATCTGGTCTCCACCAGGCTTCTCATTCACTGGCTCTGCTTGTACTTCTGACACCAAATATGTGTATGAAAGGGAAGTTTCCCTTAAACTAAGCAATCCTTCAACACCACTGGCACCAAGTTGGTAACCTACCCTTTCAGTTAGTTCTGATCCTGGACCTGCATGGCATCAACTTCACAAGTTAGGGGCAGGGTCCTGCAAAGCCCAGTTTAGAAGCTGGATATGGCAGGGCACATCTGTAACCTCAACACTAGGTGGGGCAGACACAGGTGGATGATCCCTGGAGCTCAGTGGCCAGCCAGCCTACCAGCTGATGAGTACCCGGCTCAATGAGAGTCTGAAAAACAAAATGAGATGGAGTAACACAGCAGGCTGCTAGACTTTTAACTCTGACTTCCATGCGTGCATTCACAGGAACATGTGCGCATGCACACACACACAATGCAGTTTCTCAAGTTCTACTAAACCTAACCAGGTATTTGAAAAAAGAAAAATTGGAGAAATATACATCGCTTCAAGTTTGAACAGCACTTGTGCAAATTACAGAATCTTGCTACATATTCAAATTGTGTTTTTAAAACGTGGATGCCTGGCCCTTGCCCAGAGAACGTATGCTTGCTTGAGCTAAGGACCAGCCATGATGTGGGGCTTATTTCTACCCCCCAGGTGACTCCACGTGCAGCCAAGTTGAGAAAATACTGTTCTAAGACAGCGGTTCTCAACCTTCCCAATGACAGGACTCTTTAATACAGTTCCTCATGTTGTGACCCCCCCAACCATAAAATTATTTTCATTGCTGCTTCATAACTGTAATTTTGCTACTGTTATGAATCATAATATAAATGTCTATGTTTTCTAATGATTTTTAGTTGACCCCTGTGGAAGGGGTTGGGGGGTCATGATTCACAGGTTGCGAACCACTGCTCTAAAGCACTAGGCCTGCTACCCTGTTTTGACTTTTCAGGGGCACACTTGGGTCAAAACCCATTTGCCAGCAAATATTCCAGTCCCTCTGTACCCTACTGAACATGGAGCTCAAAGCACTGTCACGATGTCTGTCTGCCACTTCCTTTTCTTTCAGAATCATCACCTATCTCTACTGGCAGATCACAGAGGGGAGGAAGATCATGATCCGGCTGCTCCATGAACAGATCATTAACGTAAGGCTCTCCTGTACCCTCCCCTGTAATGACCCCTGCCCCCACTCCTCTCAACAGAGTTTAATAAAAATTTCCAAACATACTCCAAAATAGAGAGAATAGATAGTACAATGAATTTCCAGTCCCCATCACCCAACGTGTGTGCGTGTGTGTGTACTTGTGTGTGCAGACACACATGTAAGTATATGCACATCTGTGTTGAAGGCCAGAGGACAACCTTGGGTGTCATTCCTCAGACTCCGCCCGTATTTTTAAAAAGATAAGACAAGATCTCTCGTTGGCCTGGAATTTGCCAAGAAGGTCTGGCAGGCTGGCCCGTGAGCTCCAGAGACCGGCCTGTCTTCATTTCCTCCCCGCTGGAATTATGAGCACATGCCACCAGGCATGTCTTTTTATATAGGTTCTAGACATCAAACCTGCTTGTGAGCACTTCACTGACAGACGTCACTTCAGCCATCATGGACATTTATATACTCTCATCTCATCCCTGCAAGTCTTTGCATTATCTTAAATACTCTTGAGGCTTATGAGTTAACAACTACCTCTCTCATCACTGTGATGCAATGCTTGACGCGGGAAGTCTTTATTTTGGCTCACCTGTCAGTCCATCACGGTAAGGAAGGCAGGGTAGAGTTCATTGGCAGGCGCATGAGGTAGAGACCAGTCACATGTTGGCAGATCAGGGGGCAGAGAAGTCGGGCTAGAACCAGAAGCAGGTACCACCTCCAAGGCCCACCCCCGGAAGCCCACTTCTGCTGGTTAGACCACAGTCCTGCCGGTTCCATGACCACCTGAGAGAGTATCATTCCTGGGCGCAGTTCCTTGGGGAAGTCCAGTTGGTGAGTGTAGAAGTAATGAGGGAAATAGAGGGTGAACTTGAAGCAGAGGCCACAGAAATATTAGTGTGAGCAGTAGTTACACAGTAGTGGTGGCTGGGATAATTATTACAAGCAGCATGCTAAAGTCAGGGGCTCACTTTTGAAGCATTATTTTTGCATCTGTGGATGATGCCCCAGGAGTGACAGCTAATGTTTTCCTTTGCTGCTGTTCATTGTTGAACCAATAAAGTAGTAAACTCTGAAAAAAAATTGTCAGGGGTTCACAGTTTAAGGAGAAACAGGCATGAAGTTGGGACAACCATGCCTGTGTGAAGTTGGATGATAGTGCCTGTGTGACGTTGGGGTAACCATGCCTGTGTGAAGTTGCGGTGACTGTGTGAAACATAGATGACTGTGCCTGTGTGACGTTGGGGTGACAGTACCTGTATAGAGGATACAGTGATGCTCACCTGGCTCCCTACACAGGTAGAGTAGTTCACGCCTTCCTGCTGCAGGGTTCATGAGGAAGTGATCCAGCCTCCTGGGAGAAGGGATATTCCCGCTGTTTTCCTTTGAACTGTTGAATCACAGATCTCAGCCGACACGGATAACCTTGAACCTTTTTAATTATTATTAAATTGTGTGTGTGTGTGTGTGTGTGTGTGTGTGTGTGTGTGTGTGTGTGTGTGTGGTGAGTGTAGGCATGTGTGTCCTTTGTCATGTGTAGGACATTAGAGGGCAACTTGCAGGACTCAATTCTCTCTCCTCTTGACATGGGTTCCAAGAATGGAACTCGGGTCGTCTTCCGGCTTTTGTAGCAAACACTTTTACCTGCTGAGCAGTCTCACCTGCCCACGTACAACTCTGATGGCTGAATCGTTGTTGATGTCCTTAGGAGTGGAGCTCTAAGCTTTGGCGTCTCAGTAGGAGGATTGGGAAGACCCAGGCAAGACTAGTTCATAGAACAAGGGCTGGGACAGGGAGCCTGCAGGTAGGGCTTCTGAAGGTCTGCGTTCTAAGCCTTCAGACAGTGCCATGGAAGTCGTATCTACAATCAAGCAAGCAGAGGCTCTACTCCAGCCTACTGGGGATGGGAGGGGGGGTCACTTAGAGGAACCTATGGCAATGCAGGAGAATTCTGGGGCTCATTGTCTTTGCTCTGAAATGTTTCTTCTCTTTCATCAGAAGAAAACATAGCGGACATCTCCTCTGGACTTGTGCCCCCCCCCTTTTTATGCATGCCTTCTGCACCCTGCGCCAGTATACATCTTCCATGCCTTACTTTTATTTTTCCTTCTTGTCAGGAAGGCAAAGACAAGATGTTCCTGATAGAAAAGTTGACCAAGCTACAGGATATGGAGAAGAGAGCCAACCCCAATGCACTTATCCTGGAAAGGAGAGAGGTGGAGGTGAGGCCACAGCTACCTTGGGGCCAGAGAACACACTCTCACGTTCTTGTGACAAGTGTATTGGGAAGCAGACACTTTCTAGGGTTTTTTGTTTGTTTCTTTGTTTGTTTATTGGTTTCTGTGCAATGGGGTCTTGCTGTATAACCCAGGCTGGCTCCTGTTCTAGCCTCTTGAATTCTGGGATTACAGGTGAACTTAACGCCTCCTGTCTATGATCCTTCACTTTTCTGCCCTAAGCATTACTGTACTTTTAATTAAAAGAAAAAAAAATCATTGTTCACTTAACATCTGCATGCCTGGCTGTGGTCCAGGTGTTGTGTTGCTGTGAATTAAAGAACGTTCTGGCCTCATAGAGTTCACACTTGTTTTAAATCACCCAGTAATACACAAGTATATCCCACTGAATAGTTAACACTATTTTTCCAGATCTTTCCCTAAGACATCAACAGTCACACCTGAATCTCCCCAGACTTTGATAAATGGATTATGAAAGTAGGGCTTTCATAATTTTATAACCATAGCATAATATCCAAATACTATCATAGCTTTCTTCTTACTGAACACTGTATCCTGAACATGGTTTCTTTCTGGATATGTTTGGACATTTGAGTTTTGGGGCTTTTTAAATACTAAAGTTGGTATTGAATGAAACATTGTATTAAAAACTGTAGTATTAATACATTAATAGTCATTATTTTGTGGTGCTGTGGATGGAAACCAGAACCTTGTGCATGCCAGGCAAGTGGTCTACTTCTGAACTACACCGCTAGTCCTATTTATTATAAGTATTTTATGTAGTTCTGCTCCAAGGACATGTACACTTGCCCTCATAACATGTTGTTAATAGGTATTCTTTCATGAAGCTCATTAAAAAGTTTTTTTTGGTCTCCTGAAACACACCAGTAAACTGTTCTCCTTAACTGAGAACATTGACAACATGATTTGTTATCTGTGTAAAGTAATGCTGTCAGTGTTGCCCATCTCAAATCCCCAGAAGCCAGATACCTCTGTCACCCCACGCACTAACATATTACCTGGCATGTCATAAATGCTCAGTAAATATCCATGGAATGAATGCAATATCTGTTGCTAAAAAGCTAGACATGCTGGATATTTCTGTGGCTGACTCTTGGTCTCAACCATTACCCCTTCATTTTAAAATAGTGGTGGGCTCACAGATTGTACCAACTGTGCAACACACCCAGCGTTTGCATCCCTCCCTCTGGTGACATGGCTGTATGTTTTCTTCATTTTCAGCAACAAAACCCTTTGCATGTGGAGGAACTCAATGCTGCTCCTGGTGCGTACCAGAACTGCCAGAGACAGAGGCGTGCGGTGACGTAGCCCAAGGTGGAGGGTGTTCAGTCGCTCTTCAGCTGCAAGCCTGACCTCAGATGAACTTGCTTTTGGTCTGGTCTACTGCAGAAGCTCACAGTGTCACTAGAACCTGGTTTCTGTCTGTTCAGGTCACATGTTAGCTCTTTACACAAACAGCCACCTTGTAATGATGGCCAAACAGCATTCACCAACACCTCACATCTTTTCAGGTTCAATCGAGTGAGAAAGAGTTAGGGAATCTAGAATTTTCACATCAGCTTCATTCAGTCTAATGTGTTCCTCCACAAACCCATTTCTGTGACCATGAAAATATGACAGTATCTGTGGCTGTAACCAAGCCACGTGCTTCAGCTACGGTACTGATGGTATAACCGTACAGATCACAGGAAGTGAGAGCAGGCAGTTCTGCCTCCCAGGTCAGGGGCTGAAGCCAGAAAGGGAATGGGTGCTGGGGAGGAAACAAAGAAGCCTACTCACTTCTTTAGACTAGTCATTTGATATTTTTGTGTGTGCATGCTTGTGTGTGTGCCTGTGTGTGTACATGGAGGCCAGAAGAGGGCGCTGAGTATCCTCCATCACTCTGCCTATTTCTCTGAGGCAGGAGCTCTCCCTGAACCTGGATCTAGTGTCTTCTTGGCTAGTCTGGAAGCCAGCAAACTTCAGTGATCCTCCTGCCTCTGTCCCAATTCTATCAGGGTTTACAGGCATGTGTGGGATACCTGGCTTGGTACATAATAGGTTCTGGGATTCCACAACAAGCACTCTGACCACTGAGCCACCTCTCCAATCCTGCGCTTGTTTTTAAAATAGAATTTACTGACAACAGCCAATAATGGGAGGTCAAGGAGAGAGTCTAGAAACTGAAAAAGGAGGCAGGAAGAAAGGCTTGCGAAGTGCTGGGCTCTTTCTGGCCACGTTGATCTTCCCCTTGAGGAGATGGGACTGTGTGTGCCTACATTGACTTCTCTTTCCTATGTCAAACCCAGACCTGCGGTTGAGACGATCAGCGCACGACGAGAATCCGGAAGTCTGATGACTGTTGAGTGCTGTGGCTGCCGATGCCGGTCAAAAGGGGGAAAGAAGATAAAAAAATGAGACAACCTCCATGACAGCTGGGCCTCGGGAGCTTCCCAGGGGTGGAATCCAAGCCTGAGGCCAAGAGAAATCTCACCCACCGTGCAAATGGCTCTGTGAAAGAGGGCACACTTTACTTCCCTTCCAACCCAGATTGCTGATTTTTTCCAAAACAAAGTACTTGGAATTTTCCAGTTAAAACTGTTAAAATATTGGAATTATCCCACAAATAGCTGGGACGAGGGAACCTGGAAATGTTGCATTTTTATCTTTAACTTTAAAATATTTAATTTTAAAATACAAGTCTGCATGATGGGGCCTTTAAGAATCTCTCTTCCCGGACCTGGCAATGGTTTAGAAACTGGTGCTAAGAAAAGTGGTCCACAATGAATAAAAATGTGATCCTCAATCCGGGATACAAAAACCTCTGAATGGTGTGACTTGCATTTGCTCTGGCTTTAAACTGGAAACAGCCCCATGTTGTCCAAAGCTGAAATGTAATGAAAGGTCTTGTAGCTGAACTTCATGTCTTTACTGAGTATTAGAGTCTTGGGGTTGGACCAGAAATAGGGGAGGTGGAAGAAGAGAACCAGACTCTGTCTCTATGCATGGTCATTGTCGTGGTTTGAATCTGAAGTGTCTTCTGCAGGCTTGTGTTTTGACTGCTTGTTCTCTGGCTGGTGACACTATTTGGGGAGGCTGTGGGACTTTTAGGAGGCAGACCCTTGATGGAGAAAGCAGGCTATTAGAGGCAGACTGGCCTTTCAAGGATATTCCTGGCCCCTACTTCCTGCTTTACTCTTCTTCTTGGTCAGCCATGATGTGAACATTTGCCACACCCTCCTGCTGCCACAAACCACAAACTGCAATGTCTTACCAAAGCCGTCCTTAGCACGATGGACTCAAACTATAAACCAAAATAGATAATTCCCTAAAGTGCTTCTGTCAGGCATTCTGTTTCAGCAAAGCTGTAGCACGAATCTAAAATGGTCTTATTAATAAGAACAAATGCGGGAGCCAGGTATTGGGGTAAATTCTGAAAGATCAGAGAAACACAACAAGCCATATCCAACCTCACCTTGCCAACTTCTCAGCTGATCTTGTCTCCTCAGACTGGAAGCTTCTGAATCTCATCTGAATGGATCTCAGCTGAACTGCTGCTAAAAGCCTAAAAGCTTAAAAAGCCTAAAAAAACCTTTAGTTCCTGGTCCTCACACCTTATATACCTTTCTGTTTCCTGCTATCACTTCCTGGGATTAAAGGCATGTGTCTTTTCAAAGCAAGACATAAGATCTCAAGTCCTGGGATTAAAGGTGTGTGCCACCATGTCTGGCTTCTATGTCTATCTAGTGGCTGTTCTGTTCTCTGACCCCAGATAAGATAATATACTTTATTAGGGTGCACAATATATTGGGGGACACAATATCACCACAGAAAGCCAGCACGATACAGCCATTGGAGTCTTGCAAGCCAAACAAGAAATCAGGGGTGACACAGAGAATCTGAGTGTGCACATGAGATGAGTATGTACATGAGTGTGGAGAAGTTCTTGCAAATCTGCCAAATGATTCAGAAGGCTTGTAACTGTCCTTAAAACTGGAGGCTGCACTTGGCCCGTTCCTGAAGCGCCACCACTTCCCAACAGTGCACGACTGAGGACCAGGCCTTGAGACGTGTGTCCTGGAGTGGGGAGACACCTACCCAATCATTGCACTTCCAACCCAAAGGCTGGAGAACCATGGCTTAAGGCTGGAAACAGCTTCTTTTGAATCTCTGCAAGGTCTCACCCCTTCGTGGCTGCAGCACACACCCAATTCATGTCTTAGGAGGCAATGATTTATGGTAAAGTTCAGGTATAAAAGGAGAAGCTAGCCAGGCGGTGGTGGCTCATGCCTTTAATCCCAGCACTTGGGAGGCAGAGCCAGGTGGATCTCTGTGAGATCGAGGCCAGCCTGGTCTACAGAGTGAGTTCCAGGACAGGCTCCACAGCTACACAGAGAAACCTGTCTCGAAAAAAATAAAAGTTAAAAAAAAAAAAGGAGAAGCTAAGATAGTCTACAACTTGCCCATGTCTTTATAGTCTTTGACTCGAAGACACGTGGAAAGAATTGAACTCATTAGTGTGGTGGCAGGGAGCACTAACATCTCCCTGAATTCTCACAGCTGGAGCGTCTGCATGACATTTAAGTGAGACAGAGATGGGGACAGGGTGCCCCAGTGCCCTTGTTCTGTCACGATTTCACCTGTGTACAAGAGCAAGGCTTTATTCCTGTGTCGTATAACAGCGTCCCATGCCACCCATGCTGTAGCTTTTGCCTTTAGTTACCCAGTGTTCTAGGTGTCATACGGAACCTGATTTGTGAGATTGGGGGTGGGGTCCTGGAGCTTGCACAGGGCTTCATGTCTGAGGCCCACACTCCGAGCAGTCTGTTAGAGCCCTTCTGCTCCCCCTCCCTTATTCGTTCCCTTCTTAAGCAGTATGACACTTCACTGTTTTGGGGGGAACATTCCACAGCTCATTTGAACCTTATTGTATTATCTCTGTGGCACAATGAAGTAGGGCAAATTGTGTGACTACCATTTGGCATGTGATGGGAACTCACACTGGTTTTGATTTGCATGCAGCCTCATGGCTAGTTAGGGACAGAACTGAGCATAGCATTGGCTACCCGAATCCTCACATCCTTGCCAACACCCGTCATCTGTTTTCTTGGTGATAGCTATGCCAATAGGCGAGACAAAATCACAAGACAATTTTAGTTTGTACTTCCCTGATGGTGAAGGAGATTGAACATCTTTTTAATTTATTTGCAGTGTTGAGGAATGGGGTCCAGAGGCTCATGTGTGCTGGGCAAGTATATGATCACTGAGCTGTCTAGCAGCCCTTTAGCACTATTTGGAGAGGTTTTTAGAGCTCTTTATATTTATCCTTGCAGTTCTGACAAATCCCCCCTTGGCCTTCTCACCAGCTAAGGGGAGATGAGGCATTGGTCTGCTCTCTTGTTATCCCCTGCCCTTTGTCTGGGTAGTTATGTCACCATGTCTTCTCCATTTTACAGCTTCCTACTCCCCATCCTGAGTGCTAGCAGGTATATACTACCATGCCTGGTTTATGCATTCTTGGGGTTGAACCCAGGGCTTCCTGCATGCCTGGCATGCACTGTACCAACTGAGCCACATCTCCAGTCTTGTGCATGCTGGGATGACAAAAGGCGTCTCAGACACCTTTGCTAGTGTTAAGCTGGTTGAACACGGTCAGGGCCTTGGATTTTCTGTTAACATGTCAGGATGTTGCCACAGTCAGTGGTACAGGAATAACTGCTAGCACTTTGATTACTGTACTGTCCCTGATTGAAGCACTTTAGATATGGTCATTTAACCAGCTCACTGGCTTTATCAAACAGGAATTACCCCCACTTTACAGAAGAGGGATCTGAAGTCCAGGAGGTGTGCCACTTGCCAGGGTCATGCACAGCCTAAGTGACTGAACTGGGAGGCATACCCAGTCTGCTCCAGCACATAAGCTTCATCATAAAGCCAATGAGACAGCACACAGTAACAGAAGGGCTGTGTCTGGGGGCCTGGATGTACTACCACCCATTAATATGTATTAAGTCTCCAAAACATTTCTGCATGTAACAAATTGTACACCCATAACTGACCTCCATATATCTGCCATCTCTTCAGCTAGCTCTTATTTTCTTCCTGTATTTAATACTCTTATGTATGTTCTTTTTTGCATATGTGTGTGTCATGTGAGTGCTTATGCATGTTCACATATGAATGGGCACAAGTGTGAGTGGGGGTACACATACACATTTTGTGTGCATTCAAGTAGAGATGGGAAGTTGATATCGAGTGTCTTCCCCATCCCTTTCCACCTTATATATTGGGTCAGGGTCTCTCCCCAGACCTGGAGCTCACCCCTTTGGCTTGTCTACCTAGCCAGCTTGCCCTGGGGATTTCCCATCTGGGATTGCTAGCAGGCCATCACACCCACCCAGCTTTTATGTGGGTTCTGGGAATCCATCTCCCTCATTCTACTCACTTTCAACCAGCATTCCTGGGCTGAAGTAAAGAGACAACATTGATTTGAAGTTGGAAGTCTTGATTTCTGGGGTCCTGTTTGTCCCTCGTCAGGTCAGTGATCTTAGCAAGTTCTTTGCCATCCCTCGGCCTCTTCCAGTCCCTCGCCTTATAGAGAGAACGATAACAGAATCCACTGTGTCTGGTGGCTTGTCTGGGAATCAAACGAGACAACGAAATGCTTCGAAACTTCTAATCTGAGAGCTGCAGAAGAAAGATTAGATTTCGGAGTCGAAAGCCCCTGACTCCTGGCTTCTCTGGAAGTGTGGCAGAGATGGTGGCAAAGAAGCACTGTGCTGGAGCTGGTGGTTGGGAGGCTCACCCAGGGTGGAGAGCCTGGATCCCAGCCGTGATAGCCTTTGTCCCGAGTGCATTGTTTCTTTGGCACAATCACAAGTTATTACAAGACATGGCCCGTCTTGAGGAACCAAATGAAAAAATCATCAGGCCAGATTTCAGAGACTTGTACAGAGAACTTGACGGAGAGGAAGAGTGTGTTCAGAGGCAGATTTCCCGCTCTCTCACAGCACAGCGGGTCTTTACTATACTGTCTATACTATGGGCTGCTTGCTGTTGTTCAGTTTATTTATAGATTGACTGGAGACAAGGTCTCACATTTCTCAGGCTGGCTGTGAACTTATTATGTAGCCGAGAATGCTTTTGAATGGAGCCTTCTGCTCCATTCCTTGAGTACTGGGATTTCAAAGCCAGCTTTAATTTTTAGTTGAACTGGGACTACAAAAAGACCATTTGATTTATATGTCTATAGAGAACAGCAGAATCGAACATTTGGGAAGGTTTATGAAATTTTAACCTGTTGGAAATGTGATATACCAATTTACTTTTTCTTGGGACTTTTTTTTCTGGATGTGTGTCTTAGGGGGCCACTCTGGGTCCAACAGTAGCTCTTGGTCTAATTGGAGCTGGCAGATTCTGTGTCCCAGGAAGCCACTGTTGGTCCAATCAGAGCTGGCAGATTCTGTGTCCCAGGAAGCCACTGTTGGTCCAATCAGAGCTGGCAGATTCTGTGTCCCAGGAAGCCACTGAGGTTGCAAGGGGATGGGTGGGTTTGGTACGGTGTGGGTCTTGTAGGTTGCAGGGTCTGATGGGAGGTTTTGGTGGGGGAGCCTGCCTGTAGGAGTCTTCTCTGCTAGCTGGCAACTG